CGCTTATCCTTAGGTGACTTACAACAAGGAGCACCTATCCTTACAATCGAGTTTTCACAAGGCTCTCGAAACCGTCAAGAAATAAGTGATAAATTACAATGAAGAAACTCTCTTAACAAATGATATAATCAAGTTAAGTATTAGAGAGTTAGGTAAACACTTCAATAGATAGCAAATAATAAAGCTCAAGTGTTGATGTTGTAAACTTTGATGAATGATGGATAATGAAATAGTTTGTATCTTTGTATCAAAGTTTCCAACCAATGATCTCTCTTAACAAATAATATAAGTTAAGTATGAAGAGAGATTTTACACTTTAATAAAAGTGTTGGCAAAGAAAACTTCTACAAAAAAAATGAAGAATAGATGAGATTGTAAGAAGTTCTTTGCAAAATAGAATTCTTGATAAAATGGATAAAAACTAGTTTTGATCAATCAAGAAATTCTTTGTATCAAAGTTTCCAAACCAATGATCTCTCTTAACAAATAATACAAGTTAAGTATGAAGAGAGATTTACACTTAGATATAAGTGTTGATAAAGAAAACTTCTATAAAAAATGAAGAATAGATGAGGTTGTGAAAAATTCTTTGCAAAATAGAATTTTTGATAAGATGAATGAAATATGTTGAATCAATCAAGAAATTCTTTTGTAATAAATGAAATAGAATTTAAATTCAAGTAATCTTAATGATTTTCAATTAATAAGCTCTTTAAAATCTCTTGTAAGTGGTTGAAATTGAATGCAAAAAGAGATGAGTATTTATAGAGCAAAGAAAACACAATCAGTCACTTTCGATTGAGTAAGTTCGGTCGACTGAAGTGTGATATAGCCGTTGCAAAAATCAAACCGTTGGAGTTTCGGTTGATACTTCGGTCAACTGAAATATACTTAAGTTGATCGAATTGACTGGATTTTGGAGTCAGTTTACTATATATCAAAAAATGTTCATTTTCCAAAATCATCTTCATTTTTAAAACGTTTTATGCAAGTGATGAATTATGAAATATCGTTTCAGCTTTATGTGCTTTGCTAAGAATTGATGAGTATACCTTTACATATAAACGAGGTTTCGATAAACAACTTCTAAATACTGGTCTTCATGATTCTTGTTCTCTTCGAGTCTCTTTTGTTTGCACACTCTTCAACTGATGACGATTTGTGCCTTTGAATGTTTTAGGGATATTTATACATGAAAACTCAAGAAACTAGATATGTTAGAACCGTAAGTGTATTGTTTGTTATAATCAAAACAAGTGGAACTAATCATATGTCAACACATTATCTATTCTTAGAGTCTTTATCTTATGATCAATTTGGTTTTCAATTTGTGTTTTCTAATCCTTGAAAACAAAAAAAGTTTCATCTTTTGATTTTAATAAGAAACCCAGATTTTTCTAGAAAAATCATCAATGATAAAAAGATAATATCTAAAACTAGTTAAGGTATACAGAGGTAGGACCCCAGAGATCAGCATGCAGATATTCAAGTATTTGTTTGGATTTATGAGTTCCAGGTAAGAAAGATAATTTAAATTGCTTGCCAATAACACACTGTTCATAGGACCCAAAATCACCAAGATTTTGTTTTCCAAAAACTTTTTATTTTGTGAAGACTTTAAATTTTTCTTGCCAATGTGGCCAAGTCTTTCTTGCCATAATTTTGCTAAAGTAAAATTATCAGATAAAGTAGCAGCAGTTAAACCAAGTAAAGGAATTCCATTCAAGAAATAAAGATCATGTCTATTAGGGGTGCTTATGATTAAATCAGAGCCCCTAAGAATTTCAACATGTCCTTGACCCAATTTTATGTTAAACTCCATGTCATCCAACATGCTAGACACCAGGTTCCTCTCTAATTCAGGCATATATCTGGTTCCTTGTAAGAAGAGTACATTTCCATTTTCAAGAAGCAATTTAATGGCTCACATTCCTTTTACTTTACAAGTCATATTGGTCCCCATTATTACCTGCCCCCCAGATGTGGTTTCAAAATCAACAAAACAGTTGTTTGTTGGGACACATATGAAAGGAACAATCAAAGTCCAGAATCCACTCTTCAGTCAACTTCTCATTATGAATAAGGACTAAACCGTCTTTAGAATTAATCTTACTATAGACTAAGGCAGCATTCTCATCAGTAAAGCTTTTATATTTTGCTTCATTCTTTTTCTTATAACAATCTTTAATAAAATGACCAATTTTATCACAATAATAACATTTCTTACATTTTGCCTTATTTTTGGATTTATTCTTGTCATTCCATTTAGTCATATTCTCATTCAGAGACTTAAAGTGAAAATTAGGTTTACTAAACCATTTACCTTTAGCAAGCAGGTTATCTCCATTATGACTTCTAGTCTCAGACTTAATTTCAAGAGCCTTATTTCTTAAAGCACTAATGATTTCATCAGTAGTAATCTGAGCTCTACCATATTCAAGAGCAACCTTAATGATTCTATATTTGTCACTAATGGAGTTTAACAAAACCACACCCAGCCGATCTTTTGAAAGTTTGTCATCACAGTTGGTCATGTCTTGGGACAATTTTGTAAANTTCATCACAGTTGGCTAAGTCAAGGGTCAACTTTGTAAACCTATTCAAGTTATCATCTAGATCAACAGAATAGTCCATTTTGAAAGAAAAGAATTGTTTCAACAGAAAACCTTTGTTAGGAATAGTTTTAGTCACATATTTGGCTTGCAATTTAGCCCACAATTCAGAAGTTGTTTTGGTTTCACCAATTTCTCTTACAACATTATTAGATAAGTACAAGAAAATAGTACTCCGTGCAACTTCTTCAAGTTCAGTTTTTTTAGCAGGAAGTAAGTCCACATGCCAACTATTATCAAGAGCCCTAGCAACTCTCATTTGCATTAAGATTGCTTTCATCTTTTGATACCAAATATTGAAATCACATTTACCATCAAATTGTGGAACTTCAAACTTAGCAAAAGCCATGTTTGAAAACAAGTATGATGCACAAGTAGGGATTCAAGATAATAGAAATCACAATCAGAGACTTACAACAATTAATGCAGCTTAAGAAATCACAGTAACACACTTAGTAATACAAGATTTCAAGTTTCAAACAAAAAAGATCAATGAAACATACAAGGCAAGCTCAATTAAAGAACACAACAGAGATCACAGGCTATGTTTCACAGATCACTCCAGCAAGATTCTCCAAGAACACGCCCAAACTTGATTTATCTCAGATTCCAGGAGCCTCGCAGGAGCTACTGGACAAAGATTAGTCTCGAGGGGGTTTCAACGGTGTTCTGAGAAATCAAGGGTATGATCAAGAAACCCTAAAAAAAATTAAAGGCTTGTACAAAAATGAAAAAGATCACACCCAATGAGTTAGCAACAAACTCGATTTCTTTAACGTGCTTTTCAGCAGTTCCAAAAATTTTTGATTTACAATAGATCTAACCCTTTCTGTGAACATCTAGGCAACTTGTTCTTCAGTCCAGGGCTCTGATACCACTGTAAAGGCCCAAGTAACACGATATTAAAACAAGATCCAAAAGAATCAATCACAAACAGAAAGTAAAGTTGCAGAAAATTAAAAGATTGAACACAAGATTTATTTCGGCCTAAACCCCGGAGGTTCGACGACCAGATCTAACGCTTATATCCCTTTTGAGCATCCAAAAATGGATATTAGCTCAGTTGCACTAACAAGCCCAAAATGGCAATAATATTACAGATCGTTCTTCAAATATAAGAGAAAAGCACAAAAGCACTTATCTCTAAACACTAAACTGCAAGAAACCCTTTATTCTCACAACTATCACTCAGACAACAAATTATAGAGGCTAAAACACTAATAGATCTCAGTTTACAAGGTTCATCACGAGGGATGAAGAACACGAAAATCTCAAACCCTGGTTTACAAGAAAAACTCTCAGAAGAACCTAGAAGAACGAAGCAGCCCAAAAGCCAGAGACCAAATGAATAAAATATCTGTTGAAGTGGTATATATATCATACACCAACAAACCACAAATCCAATAGGTAGTAGAAGTCCACGTGTTATCATCAGAAGAAAAGTGCAATACTAAAAGAAACGTCATTCAGTAAAACACGACTTTAACCAATTTATGGGAGCACGTTATAGATCATCAGTTTGAGCCTCAACAAGCACAATTGACGGTGGTGGCTATTGTGGAAGCTCTCTATCCAATGCAATCGCGGATGGCCTACTAATAAATGTCGATTCTCCATCAATGAGTTGGACATGAGGCGAGCACCACCATTACTAAATCTATGATGAAGATCTGTTTTCCACCTTCCTCTATCCAATGTTGCTGCGGATGGGCGACACGTTTCGGCTATGACAGAATGGACGATTTCTATGAGGGAAGAAAGAGTTGGGGATCGATTTCTGTGAGTGAAAAGAGTGATTGAGATAGCTCGATCGATCTCCACTAATGGAAATTCTTAATGGGCGGTCTTTTGGAACAATAGCTTTGGAAATAGCATGTGTGGTACTGGTACATCATGTAGGAAAGTTTTCTAACTCCAATCAAAGTTTAGTAATTAGTTGCAGCGTGCCCGACAAGGCTAAGTCAATATATGATTATGAGGTCCATCTACCCATTTGAAGGATTTATGCCTCTCATCCACTCTTTGGTCTATGGAAATTTATCTACTCGACCAAGATATTTACGATTCTACTAATTTACATGGTTTCGAGGATCACCTACTTGCATATTTGGAGGAATATTCTATCCACGGCGCATTATATTGTCTCTTGTGTTGTCTGCCATAAAATAACAATGAAAAAACTCAGAAAATTTCAATTTCTAGTGGCATATCCATATTTTGGGGGTTAAGTTGCATATTTTTTTAAAGTTGAGTCAGAAATTACAATTATAAAAAACCTGAGGGGCTGGGCACTGAAAATTACCCAAAATGCAAATTGTTTTCTCCGTCACACGCTGACGGTCCGCCTCCGCCGCCATTTTCTCTGTTTACAGAGCTGAAAAAATCCATATGCTACTCTTCATTAACTCCCTTCGTTTTCTCTCTCGAAAACACCTTGTCTCTCTTCCAAAACTCATTTTCGTTCCCGAACCCATCTCACTCACAGTCTCTGCATCAAGTAAGGATTTTTATAGGATCGAAATTTTAGTTCGATTTTTTATAAAAATTAATTTGTTTTATAATTTCTCAGTTACGTCAACAATTAGGTTAATTTACGTTAATTTAACATGAATTGATATGTATTTGTTATGTGTTTATAATAATCAATGTTTTTGCCATATAAAAGGAAAGCATGAAAGTGAAATTCGAAACTTTTACGCAGTTTACACATTATAGTTTTGTTTGAAGCCCAAAAGAAATTGCATACATAGAATTCTCAATGATACAGAGTGCGGTCCGTACGAACGGACTATGCCGACGCCTACAAGTTATATGCAGTACTAGTTTTCCTCCCTTTGTGTTTGTTTGTGCAGAAATGGAGTTGGAATCACCTACTACGTTGATGTTATGCGGAAAATCAAGTACAGAGAACGAATTAGCCAGGTTGTTGAAGATCAATAACACGTTAAGACTTCCAGATAATGCTTCCATAAATGTTATTTTGCATTCGGAGAATGAAAAACAAGAGAGCTTACAAAAGGACGCGTTTCAGATAGATTCATATATGAATTCTCTTTCAACTTCCCGTGTCGGAAAATTCCTCATTTACTCTCCCAAATTGGCTTCCACACACGATGTTGTTTCCCAGTAAGCAATTTCATTTCTGTTCTTAATTATCTTGTTGTAAACTCATGGGAATTCATTTTATTTTACAGTGTTAAGTTTTTGGTGTTGATTATTTTAACCATAGCAAGTATAACACTTAAATTCATAAGGTACCATGAACTCATGCTGTATTTTGTGCTTCAACAATTGACATGTTCTTGCTGTATCGTTTTCCAGTTTAGGATCTAATGTTTCACTTCAATTCTAAATACCCAAGCTATAAAATTTGTTATATTCAGGAATAAAGTTGATAGTATTATGCAAAATTTTAAGAAATGTACAATTTTGTTGTAAAAGTACTGCGAACCCATATCATACCATGTGCTTGATTCATTTATCTTTGTCTGTTATCACTACGCTGTTTTGATTACATTTTCTAAATGTTCTTTTGTAGTAATTTTTGCGAGTTGCCTTTAGGCGCAGTATGTGTAGCTGATGTGCAGCTCAAAGGCAGAGGTATTAATGTGTGGTATAATGTAGTAAGGAGTTTCAAGTTTTTCATTCTCTAATTTCTTTTCTTTCTTTTTTGTCGGGGATGGTGGGTGGGGTTTGAAGGTCGGTCAAAGAATTTGTGGGAGTCACCGAAGGGATGCCTATTGTTTTCATTTACAATACAAATGGAAGATGGTCGAGTGGTGCCTCTTGTGCAGTATGTTGTGAGTCTGGCAATGTCTGAGGCAATTAATGATGTTTGTCTTCAAAATGTAAGTGCCTTTTGTCAAATTTTTGTTTATTATCCAAATATTTGTAGAATAAGTTTCTTGAGATGCATGCTGAAATTCAAATTTTGGGCAATCAAATTACCATAAGTTCTTTGCCTGCTGTAAAATGTCTGCACTTTTTGCATTTATGTTAACCCAAGTGTAATGGTGTGGTATGCTAGAGTTGATGAATGAAATTCATTATTATAAGTACAATGTTTCTGGATTTAGAATAATATGTGTAAAGCAAACACTTCAGTGAGTGGGTTAAGCACTACATGGAAGATTTTCAAGCATTACTTAATATACTAGGTTTTCGTCAAGCATTTCTTGACATATGGTTTGTTGAGTATTGCTTCACACATTTTCTTTTGTCAAGCATTGTTTGATACAATGTCAAGCACAACTTAAGTTATCTGTAAAGTACTACTTTATAATATGTCAAGCACAACTTAGCACTACGTTAAGTAATGCTTGATAGAAGGAAAAATATAAAATTTACAAATCAGAAAATACATATCAATATTCTTTTATCATATCTTGTACCCAAATTAACAAAGTGTTGCTCAACTCCCAGCATAAACTCTGGTGTTAAAGTCATAATAAATCTATATGCCCAAATTTGTATGGCAAAAATGAACTCCAGAATGAACATATCACCGTTGCTATAGGATTTACCTTCCTTCAGAATGCTTGTTGCATACCCCGGCAAAAACTGCAGTGGTCCCGGCCCCCTCTAGTTCTCCTGTTTTTTTTGTTTTTTTAACATTTGAAAACAAAAGATAACAAAGAAAAAAGCATTAGTGGATTATATGAAATATGCTTGTAGCATAGTGGTAAAAGTTTCTTGGTTTTATTTTGTTGGCTAAGGTTCAAATTCTTCCCGCCACAATCTTATTTTTTCCTTTGAAAAATTGTGCAATTAGTCCCTCTAAACTTTAGCTTTTCTAGAAATTTGTCCCATCCTTTAAAATCTACTACTTTAATTCGATAATTTTGTATCAAAATGGATAAAGGCAGGTGCAGATCTATAAATAGATGTTGTGCATGTATCTACACGACCTAAATTATCAACAAGCTCTCCAAGCATGTTGAAAATTCGTCCCAAAGTCGCTCATCAACCAAAACACTTAGAGGAGCTCCCGTATCAATCACTTCCATTCCTCTCAATCACATCATCCGTAGCACTCATAGTTATAGCTCTAACTTAATTATATCCTAATAATTGTTGTACCTCACTAGTCACATTAATTGCTTGACCAACAGTATTTCGACCTTTAACTACCAGAGCATTATGAATATTAGGCATCTTGCTTGATGGGGCTATATCTAGTACCAAACTAATGATTTGAACAATACGTTGCTGGTTTTTTTTTTTTTTTCCCAAGCATGAAACTCCATAACCATAAGTAGTAGTATTAACTCTGATAATAATAAACAAATTATGTTGATTTTTTTTTTTTTTTTTTTGAAAAATATCTATTTCAAAATGAGGGTTCAATAGCACAACGATCGGTTAATTCAATAAGAAATGAAGTTAGCACTCGATTTCGTTATTGCCATTCAATTGAGTCCAATTTCAATTGTTTACTTATTAATCCACTTGAAATTTTCAAGTTCAACCAAGATGTTTTGAAAATTTTAAGTGGATGAATAAGAATCTTTGAAAAGTTTTTAGTTTGTCTATAACGATACATAATCCCATCTATATTCTAGAAAGTATTATATGAAATTCACACCTGAACTCTATTTACATTTGTATCCATTATTTTTATATTATTGGTTTATTGTATATTTTTTATTTTAACATAACGTTTTATGCCTAGCCTGTATCTTTTCTTTTCCCTTTTTTAAACCTTTTTATAGACGAATTCCACATATTGTTACATCTAGGATTTACATATACAACATATACCAGTGTCAAGTTTTTTTATTAGTGAGGTTAGGTAATTCGAATCCAAAAAATGTCAAAAATAAAAATTTGGTTGAAATAATTTAGATTTCGATGAACCAACCCAACCAGTCAGTTACAAGCCTTGAGAAACTTTGACGTCCATTTATTTTCTCAAATTTTTTATTTTTTAGGTTTTGTATAATCAAACTTGATTTTTTATATAAAATAATGATGTTTCCTTTTTTTATATTTTTTCCTCACTATTTATTTGTATTTTATTTATGGTTAATCCAAAGTTGGTTAATTTCATGTTTCCTAACAAAGTTTTTTGAACAGGATAAGTAGCTTAGTTGTTTTCTTCAAATGTTGCTCTCTTTGTAGCTATCGCTCCGCAGTCGACTGCTGACAGTAGTAGATCTCCCAGAATAATTATTTTTTGGCTTTGCCACTTCCCTTAGAGAATTTTTAGAAAGTATCAAAGTTCAACAATATTTGACCTTTATTCACGATTGAAAGTGGAGGAATGTTTGAATAGTATGTTGCAGAAATGTTCTTCAATCATATTTAAAGAGAGAAACTACTTATTCATTTATTTAATTTTTTAGAGGGGATATTGAGTATTAGTGGAGTTGAATTTTGACCTACCAAAGGAAAAAGTAAAAACTAATCTTATAGTTTTCAACGATTTACTGTTCTTTCTTGAGAATATATGCCTATGTGCACATTGTTGAAAGAGCAAAATCGGGTATTTAGGTAATTTGCATCAGAGAGAGGCAAGACATAAGCTTCCGTGCTCTTTATGGAGTAAGCCCCAACAAGTTAACACATAAAATAATTCAAAATTTACAAAATACTATATTATACTTATAATAAACTGTAAACTAACTCAACATTTATAATAAAGCATTTCAACAAATTAAAATCTTTTTGCAACTCAAAATGAATCAACAAAACAACAAATGATCACATAACAATTTCGACCACAGCCGCCCTAAGTCGGATGGTTTGAGTGTCCCGCAGTGGGTCTAGCTACAAGCTTTGACAAATGGTATTCAAAGAGTAAGCTGTGTGCTCTTTTTCAAACGTTGCATATAGATGGTTTAATCATATATGGTATAATATTTATTCTTTTTTTAATTGAATCTTGAAATCAAAACTTCCATTTTAATTTTCTTTATCTTGGTACCATAATCTATTTCAGGGTATACCACCTCTCAATGTTAGAATAAAGTGGCCAAATGATCTGTATTTAGATGATCTTAAAGTGGGAGGCATTTTGTGCACATCAACATATAGATCAAAGAAGTTCAATGTCAGTGCTGGTAAACTGTTCCTATCTTTGACAATACACACATCTAACCAATATCATTTACATACTACTTAATTGAAGTGAACAAAATTTCATTAACTGGTTTTGCTGTTGTGTTCTCAATATATCCTGACTGGGCAGACTGACTTGTTTCTGTTTGTTCATCTTGGTGTGGTTCCCACATGAGGTTATACAAGATTAAATCATTCAAAATTTCCTATTTTGTAGGAATTGGCTTGAATGTTAGTAATGAGAAACCAACAACATGCTTGAATGCAGTTATACAAAGATTGACCTCCGTTGCATATCAACTACGACGAGAAGATATCATGGCAGCTTTCTTCAATAAATTTGAGAACTATTACGATATTTTCATATGTCGAGGTGATTATTATTCTTATGACTTCCAACATTATGTTTACCTGTCATGTATATCTGAAATATGCATGGAAGCTAATTAAGTAATTATCCTCACTCTATCACAAATTTGGATGTCACTGTTTTTATTTTTATTTTTTTTCAGTATTTTGGTTTATCATTATGGTTTATATTTGTTATCTTTTCAAGTGAGACATATATCTGACTTTAAGAATTGTATAGCTCTAAACTGTTGTCATATTAATAGATAAATGACAACTGTAATCAATTTCGGGATGGAAAGATATATATGTTTCTATTCAATTTTGATAAGAATTTAAGAATTTGCAATTATTATGATTATGAAAGTGCTTGAGTTTGTTAGAACGATTATTTAATGTGGAATAAGATTAAATTTTATTTCTCTATATATATGGGGCACTAAAATTGGTTTTGATTTGATTTATCATTCTGCATCATAATTTTGATCCTAATGGACAAGTGTGTGAACCACAGTCTCTGGTTTTCCTGAAGATCCTGCCCTGCAGTAACTTTTATTAGAAGTTAGAAGGGAATCATAAAATCTTTAAACAAGAAGTCATGAGAGATGAGTGGCAAAACATGATTTTTGGAGTTAGTTGCAAAGCTGATGTATACTATGTTGATTGCGAGACTCTTCGTCTATATGATGATAGCTTACGTATGCTAAAAAGAACAAATTTCTTTTTGTGGCTATCATGCAGGCTTCCAAGTACTTGAGGAATTGTACTACAAGACATGGCTGCACAGGTGAAATTACCAATCAGTAATTCTCTCCTATGTGTTGTGCTTCTTAATTTTAGTTGTCAAAGCAATTTGCCTTACTGTTTTGCTGGGGTGGAGTCTAAAGACAATAAATACATGCCTGAAAAATTTTGGATCCATGCTTTAAACCTCTATCCTAACCAAAAAATGATCTATCCAAAATTTCTTTCATATACTAATTTTATAATTAGGGAAAGATTTTATTTGGTTCTTTTTTGACAAATTTATAATAAATAATTATTATTCTTGCTGCTAATTTTCAACTGGTATGCAGTGGACAGAGAGTCGTAGTTCAGGAAAAGAATGAAAATCAGGATCAAATTTCAGAGAATGTAGTCACCATCCAGGTGAATTAACGGATTACATGACCTGAAAGTGCTCTCTTTTACATCTCTTGTTTCAGTACTTTTTTTTTTTTTGTGGACTTCGTTGTCAGCTACAAAATTTTGATTCGTGGTTTTTGTTTTTTTCCTTAAGCAAGAATACAGTGTGTTTAGTTAATTGAGTTGGGTCCATAGATAGTGATAAGAACAATTAGATTTTATTAGTGGTTTAGAGACTGAATAGTCAAGTGGGAAATGTGAAATTTGAGTTATTGAGAGAGCCTTGTTTTATATGGATTTTATTGATGCACAAAAGCCATTCAAGATGCTCAGCACTTAAACTTGAGTAGGGGATGTGGATTCTTCATTTTAAATGTAAAATCCTTGACTTCAACTCTTGGACACATACCTGCATCTGATCTTCATACTTTAATCTATGTAACCTCACTACTGACGGGGATTGTGAACACACCCAAGATTGGCCTAAAACTGTCTTTGTTACCGTAAAATGGACCTGACAATATTCTCATCCAATAAAAATGATGAATACTTGCAAAAAAAAATTTTCTTAATATTTGAACCATGAAAATTTATTAATATCAATGTTGTTGCTTCTGTTCAGTTTCCAATGTAACTTTTGGTGTGAACACATAATTTATTTGTAAAATTTGCTACCAAGAAATTTTTTTAAACAAATTGTTTTATCAAGTTCTCTTCCCTGACTAGTCAACCTGCTAGGAGGTCTGCTCTGAATTGATGTCAAATTGTTTACAAGGCTCAGAGCTCGTGATCTTCTGAGTTTTGCATAGACTTAGAATGCATTTGTTCTCACATTATGATGTTGCAAGGGTGTGTATGGCGCACGCTTTTTCATGAACTGGTTTTGATCAAGTTTACCTGAGTAGTTGTAATGGGTTACTTGTCAAAAACCAATTGGTATCGGATCCGATAAGATGGGAGCGGTTATGTGGAAAGTAGTAGTTTCAGCTATCATTTATGTGACTTGGGCAGAAAGAAATAGCAGAACTTTGAACGAAAGATCAAGTAGTGGTTGATTTATGGAATAGGACACAATTTTTGTGTACTTGTAGGATTCTACTGATAAGGAGTTCAAGCATTTCCTTTCTCCATGACCATAATAGGGTGGAACAGTATGTTGTATTCTTGATTTTCTCTTTGCTTTTTTGTTGTTACAAGATACATTGTCCTCTTGACAGATGTAATTCTGTTTTAGTGATAAATAAATTATTGTTTCTTTCTGGAAAAAGAAGAGACTTTTGCGTTGGTGAGACTCAGATTACGAGCAATCATTTCTTGTGAAGTAGAGGTTCAATTAAAAAGAATAGGATTGCTTAATAAACTCATTTGCAGTTCAAAATTGATATATATATATATATATAAACTAATTCCTTTTTGCTATTGGTCTTTCATGCCAAAATGGTCTGACTTACTCTATGACTAAATATAAAGAAGAGTAGTATATTGGGTAAAAGATATGTGATGTCTACCTACTTTTAGTTATCTCAGAGTATCCATGTACAGGTTAATAGAGCATTGTTTCATCAGTTGTTAGCATGTCCAAATGCTGAGTTGATATTGAGTGTATATGCCTATTCTTTGAAGCTCAGCTAATTAACTTTTTAACATTTGTAGATGGCAAAGCTTCGTCTTGAGGCCATAGTTGACTGACTATATAGAAATATGGAAAATCAATTCTAACTTGTCATTGCTATATGGTTATACTGTCAATAATAGGTCTTTGAGGCATTTCTTATCAGAATCCATGACTCTTGGATAATTTCAATGAAATGGCTATATCATGCACAGTATTTGAGCTTGCAAACATCTTCACTTGCGCGCTTTATCAAGTTTTTGAAGCCAATGTACTCTTGTATTTATTCTAACACAACAGAACTACTCAATCACTTTAGACAGTGGCATAATTCTTGTTTGTAACGATCCAAGGAATTAAAATTGGAAAAGCCATTTATTTGTGTCCAGGGTATAACGACTTCCGGGTATTTATTAGCTTCCACTGAAGATGGTCAAGCATGCGAGCTTCATCCAGATGGAAACAGGTATTATATCAAGCTATCTTTTACTAGCGCTATGTGCACAAAATATTTACGATTACTAGCCAATCCCAATTCATTGAGCAAGCTTAGATAAAAATGCCTGTAAATCATATATGCATTTCATATTCTGACTAATAAAAATGCATGAGTACTACAGAGCCATATTCTTGTGAAACCATGTTGTGCAGATGTTTGAGAAATCTAGCTCTTGTAAAAGGCAATAGATTAAAAGTTAGAATGATTAGTTACACAGTAGTTACACAGTCTACAGATTTGTCCCAATTTTGCAAGTAAAATAAAAGTGTTCTGATTTTGAGAACTCTCTACTCTCTCCCAGAACATAAGGATTAGATTTTCAAACAATTGAAAACCTTTAGATTAATAAATTAATTTCCAAAGTGCTTCAGACTGCTCTTAGTACGGAGTTTTTAAATTTTTTCCACCAACCGCTTTTATCAAGGTTTTGCTTTAGAAGATTAGATCGTGTATTCAATTTGCATGGTACATGTCTTGGAATTTGAAGTCTTTAATTTGTTATTTTCCCTAGAAAATTCTCTGCATGTTTATGAGTTGTGATATTCTCTTTCTTTGCATGATTGTTTTCAAGATTTCTTATTAGAATTAACCAGGTGACTTGCAATCTCATAAGAAGTTGCATTTGTGCATTGGTCATGCACGGCTATTTCCCTGTTGTAGTACAATAAGCCAGTTTTTTCAATATCAGAGAAAGGAACATGTTGCCGGTTGGCCACTTGTAATCATTATTGTTATAACTTATTATTAGAATCCCACATTGTTTGGAAAAATATAAATGATCTACTTAATAAGGTGATGGCAATCCTCCCCTAATAAGCCAGTTTTATTAGGTGGAGTTAGGCCCAATATTCCTAATATGGTATCAGAGCCCAGGTTGTGTGGCTAGTCAAATCGAGGTGGTGGAAAATTCTCATGAGATGGTAGATCCATGGTACCGAAGTGGGTGCAGCCTA